TACTCTTCATGTTTCAATATATATACCAGGAGTGCGGTTGTATATTAACAGCTGATCAACTTTCGTAATTGTGATTGTATGCCTCGTATCACTCCCATTGCATGCACAGCTCGCGCTCATGTCCTTGGATACGAGAACCAGCCCCTTCCGGACCCGGCTCACGGCCGTTATGTGAGCACATGCCGGGACCTTGAACACTTCTTAATACACTTCATAATACACAGCTACTCAACCTCAGAAGCTAATCAGACGCTACCGAACATGGAATCCCTCGCTCGGGTGGTACAACGCAGTAGAGCCACGGCGTCCGGATCTGCACGGCACATGGAATGTTTAAAAGTTTAAAGTATCTCCAGAGGTTCTTAGTTGTCGGGGATATGTAATGATTGTTTCTTAGTTGTCGGAGCTGATTGGATTTCCCAAGCTAGCATGTTAATCAGTTAACTAGGTAAAATTGACAGGTCCTTAGTTGTCCGTCGGCAGAGGTCGAGTGTTAAATAATATTGATTGAAAACAAAGTTTTCTTGCCGCTCTTAGAGTCCCAGACCCGTGACATATCAATCACGTTTTGAAGTTTTATTGTAGAACCTATGGCCATTGTGTCTTAATCTCATTATCAAATCTAAAGCTTCCCAATCAATACAATTTAAACTAAATCGAGCTTAAATGGAAAAACTACAAGTGGAAACAAAATTAAGAGATGCTAAACTATTTTCAGATTCTCTCACCTCTTTTGTTCATCGAATTCTCACAAATTTCATTGCATCTGCCGACAAACAATTCTCAATCAAACTCTTAAATAGAGTCCGCTCCAAACAGTTTTTATTTCTAGATTGACAAATTTTAGCAATGCTTCGAATAATCCTTATCACAATTGCTATCTTAGCAGGTAAGAAAAAGTCTCATTTATTTTGTTGGATGCATTAAAAGTTTTTTCCCTTAATATTTTGGATTAATCTTATTATTAATTTTCAAACAAAAATTCATCAACCCCACAGAGCCTCGAGCTTTAGTATGGTCGAGGTCAGGGTCAGGGTCAGGATCAGCGTCAGGGTCAGGGTCAGGGTCAGGGTCAGGGTCAGGGTCAGGGTCAGGGTCAGGGTCAGGGTCAGGGTCAGGGTCAGGGTCAGGGTCAGGGTCAGGGTCAGGGTCAGGGTCAGGGTCAGGGTCAGGGTCAGGGTCAGGGACAAACCCCCGTACAAGGAGCCGGCTCCTTGTACGATTTTCGTCACTTGTGAACAGAGAATTTAAGGCACGTGGTATAAACACATGGAATAGCTGGTATCGGCCGTTTGGAAATCGTACAACGAGCCGGCTCAAAGTACGATGCTAGAGGCTCAAAGTACGATCGAGTCATATGACTTTTCACGTGATATTACCACGTTTTCTCTTGTCACGTGGGGGCTCAAAGTACGATCTTGGGGCTCAAAGTACGGGGGTTTACATTGGGGGTAGGAAGACCGTACAAGGAGCCGACTCTTTGTACGATTTTCGTCACTTGTGGCCAAAAACCTGACACCCCGTGGTTTGTCTTGCGCTTGTACCACGTGCCCTGGTCATGAGTCAGGGTCAGGGTCAGGGTCAGGGTCAGGGTCAGGGTCAGGGTCAGGGTCAGGGTCAGGGTCAGGGTCAGGGTCAGGGTCAGGGTCAGGGTCAGGGTCAGGGTCAGGGTCAGGGTCAGGGTCAGGGTCAGAAGCACGAGATAAGATCCCCCCACGTTAACAGATATAACTCCCCCCCCCCCCCCCCTTCAGATATAACTCCCTCCCTCCCCCCACGTTAACAGATATAACTCCCCCCCTTCAGATATAACTCCCTCCCTCCCCCCACGTTAACAGATATACCCCCCAGATATATCCCCCCAGATGTAACTCCCCCCCCCCCAGATATAACTCCCCCCCCCAGATATAACTCCCTCCCTCCCCCCCACGTTAACAGATATACCCCCCAGATATATCCCCCCAGATATAACTCCCTCCCCCCACAGGAGCTGAGACCTACATACAGTATCTCACGTGTAACATGATGTACTTTCGTAAATACTCGTGTGACAAGTCGAACCTGTGTTTCTACGGGTGCAACAAGGGACATTGTTGGAGTCAGTGTAATGCTGTGGGGGCCATCACGTGGGATGGTCCCCCTGGCACGTGCCACACTGAGTATGTTTCTTCTTTACACATGTTTAAATGTATTATTATAAACTCATCAAATTTTTCATAGGTTTTATCATCAACATTAATCTCACCCTCACCCACATGATACTTAATCGACTATTGAGTGACTGCTAAGGTAAGAGGTACTCACTTCAGAAACTACATAATACACATCAAATAGTCAAATACGCACCACATAATATAATTTGTTGTCACATATTCAGAACGAACTGGTATTTCTATTCACTTCCTATTCTAATTTCAGAAATTAATTCTAATTGCTAATTACTATTTAATTTGTTACAAATTTCAGTTTTAACCCAATTGAGTGGTGCTATTCGAGCGGGGAAGACACAACCTGTAATGTAGACTCTGACTGTTTGAAAGTGAATAAGAACAGTTGTAGCGGCGCCTGCTCTGTTGGTTAAAACGTGATATCAGAGTGGTGACGTCATGATATGTCATATGACGTCATGAGATCAGATTCAACATTCCATTTATAATGCGTATTTGCTGTTGTTGAAATGAATAGTTCGTTTTACTCTGGTTTATTGTCTTATCGTTCAGACATGAGACAATATTAATAAACTAAAATGCAATGCATCCATGGCCACTGCATTGAACTGCATTCTAATAGAGTTTTCAAATCTAAACCTGTCCAATAAATCAATTTAATCAAGTTTAAATCAAATGAACTAGAAGTGAAAATGAAATCAAGTGGTGTTGTACTGTAGCTAGATTCTCATTTTTCTTTTGTTCGCAAAACTCTCAACAATTTCATTGCATCTGTCGACATCCTATTTTTAAATAAGATTTTGAACTGACATAGCTCCAAACAGTTTTCATTTCTAGATTGACAAATTTTAGCGATGCTTCGAATAATGCTAATTGCAATTGCTATTTTAGCAGGTAAGAAATTCGTATTTTATACTTATTGGATGCATTTAAAGTTTCCTATTAATTGTTCAGACTGATCCTATTCTTAATTCTTGTGAGGGAGTCAGGGGGTCCGGGGGGTCAGGGTGTCAGGGTCAGGGGGTCAGGGGGTCAGGGTCAGGGTCAGGCGGTCCGGGTCAGGGGGTCAGGGTGTAAGGGTTAGGGGGTCAGGGTCAGGGGGTCAGGGGGTCCGGGTCAGGGTCAGGCGGTCCGGGTCAGGGTCAGGGTCAGGGTCAGGGTCAGGGTCAGGGTCAGGGTCAGGGTCAGGGTCAGGGTCAGGGTCAGGGTCAGGGTCAGGGTCAGGGTCAGGGTCAGGGTCAGGGTCAGGGTCAGAAAGAAGGTAAACAGATTTATCCCCGCAGTAACTGAAACACAGCAGTACGAAACCTGCAACCTCCAATTTGTGGACGACTACACGTGTAACAAAGATAACCTCTGTTACTATGGTTGCCACAAGGGGTATTGTTGGAGTCAGTGTAATGGTTTGAGCGAGATGATTTGGGATGGTCCCCCCGGCACATGCCATACAGGGTGGGTTTTTAACGTTATTTTAACGTATTTTAATATTATATCTTCCAATTATGACATTATATTATCGATACCATGCTTCCAACAATTTTATTACAACTTATTGCTAAGTACTATAACTTATTACTAATTACTACTAATTTCAGTTATCCGCACATTGAATGGTGTTGGTCAAGTGGGGCAGACTCTGCCTGCATGATAGACTCCGACTGTGAGAAAGTAAAGAATAACAGCTGCAGAGGAACTTGCTCTGTTGGTTAACTACGTGTAGTCAGAGTGATGGGAAGGCAACACACGACCACATTCCTTGTACAATAGTTTAATACTGTTTCATTTAAATTAGCTGGTCGTTTTACTTTGTTATCTTGACTAATTGTAAAGCACACTTATCAAATAACTCCCACACATTTTACTGCATCTTCATTCTTCATCTGTTCACATAATAGAAAGTGGGCAGATCTAGATTTAACCATTCCTATTTTTGACAGATCTAAGTGACTTGATTAACTGAAACCTTTCAGCTAGGGTAGAGTTCACAACTCTGTAAATAATAGCTATAGAATTTTACTGCTACATACCTGCTACATACCTTTACCACCCCGCCCTAAAGACTAAAGAGATAGAAGTTCCTCACTGAAGAACAAAACGTTCAACAGCACTTCTTAGCAAAGTTCCAAAATATAATAGCTTCGCAAGAAAAGCATGGATATTATGTATATTTAATTCAATATATAAAATTTTAAATATATTATGTAATATTGATTTATTATAATATAAACGTTACTGCTTGGGAAGATTTAGATTTGAGGATGCATTCAACTTCCATAGTCTTTATAATAAACTGTATAATAAACTGTATAATAAACTGTATAAACTGTTTAAATTGTAATATTGTCCGCACACGGTACAAGCAGAAAAGGAACCAATCATAGCATAAAAATCAACGTTTCACTTTGTAAACTGACATAGTTTGCCCATCGTTTTGCTTCTTAAATATGCGTATAGCAAATAAGTTGAATAGGTAATTTTACACATGCCACGTATTTACTGATATCTCTGTAATTTTCAGCATGTAAATATGTAACATTTTATTTTTATCCGTCTGCCTATTAGTTGGAAGCAAAATTATTCACCCAAAAGCAATCATACTTGAGCCCATTGCAAACGTGTAAGTTATTTAAAACCCTTAAGATTTATATAATTTGGTACAGTGATACCCTATTAACCCTTTATTTGTCATGATAACTAGATATTTACATTTAAAGCGTCAGATTTATGATAATGTATGATTTTATGTTGATTATTGATTACTTCTAGTAGAGTCCAGTCTGTTTATTGAGTTACAACATAGTACGTCATATTTACATTGAACCAGATTATTAATTAAATAAACCCTGGGATATGTTATTAAATTTAACTTATAGTCTACAGTTCGCATTATTCAGTGATGTAAATTAATTATCACGAGTACTACAAACTGCGCGTCCAAACCCAAAAACAATTTATAAATGAACTCGCTAAATTTTACAAAATTAAAAAGCACCTCACTTACATATGATCCCACATAATATGTGAAATATGTAAGATATTATCTCACATACGTCACTTACATTACACATATTCCACAAGATATCTCACTTACTACACACTCAGCACTTACTTTGGGATGTCACAATCTCCTTCATAGCTACAACAACAGGTTTCTTAGGTTCATCCTCTCCTCCTCCTCCCACATACTTCCACTGTCTTACAATCCACGGCCACATGTACCTTCTGTGGGAGAGAATAGTGGTTAAATTATAATGAATTATAATAAATTATAATACATTATAATAAATTATAATAAATTATAATACATTATAATAAATTATAATAAATTATAATAAATTATAATAAATTATAATAAATTATAATAAATTATAATAAATTATAATAAATTATAATAAATTATAAATAAATAAAATAAATAAATTCTAACATTTATTACACGCTTCGACATTAAAATATACCCAACAAAGACGTACATTAAAGTCATTCAAGCGAGACTTAGTGTTGAAATAGCAAGATTATGGACTTTTTAAACAGTTCAGATTTTATGAACAAATATTTGTATGAAGTTACCAAAATTATGCACTTTCATATCAGTTCAGACATTATGGACAAATATTAGAAATATTATCAAAAGCTCGTTGGAAATAAAACGTCTTTAGGGCATTTTTAAAACATTCTACAGATGATAATGATCTCACTGAGTAGGGTAGTTCATTCCAAATTTTTGGTCCACAAAACATAAATGCAGCATCTGTTCGTCTGAAATGAGGAGCAGGAGGAACTTTCAACAAATAAAAGTCATCATCTAGTCTGGAACTTCGTCTTCGTACTTCCCTTAGATTGACGTGTCCTTGTAAGTACTGAGGGGCTATGTTATTAAGACACTTGAAGACCAGAAGTGATATTTTGAACTTAATTCTGAACCGAACAGGCAGAAAGTGGAGCTTTTTGAGGTAAGGCATGATAGGTTCACGTATCTTTTTTCCGTAAAGACCAAAGATAAATCTAGCAGCATTGTTCTGTATCTTTTGTAGCTTATGGAGATTCTTTTCTGTTATACCATAATAGACTGAGTTGCAGTAGTCTATGAAACAGAGGATATTGGAGTGAACTAACTGAACTTTTAGGTCATGGGAAAGCTTCGAACCGATTCTTGCTAAGTCCCTTTGATTCAAATAACATACTTTGGAGACAGCATTTATTTGAGAGTCCAGATTCATTTGGTGATCGAAAAGGAATCCCAGGTTCTTGGCCTTGCTAACAGGGCAGATTGAGAGGTCTCCTAAATCCATTGTCTGGATTGGGCTGACATATGGACCTATATCAATGAACTCTGTTTTTTCATCATTCAGTTTTAGGAAATTAACTGTCATCCATTGCTTTATCTCCAGAAAGCAATTTTTCACAGCTGTTAAATCAGGATTAGAACTGTGAACATCAAAAGTAAAGTACACCTGTGTGTCATCTGCATACAAATGTATCGAGAAACCATATTTTGTGACAATTTCTTCAAGATCTCTGGTATACAATATGAACAGTAGTGGTCCTAAAATGGATCCTTGAGGTACACCAATATCCAGATAGCCTTCAGAAGATGTGGCTTTTTTTACTTTAACCTTGAATGTGCGATTATTAAGGTAACATTGTAACCAGCTGAGTGCTAGTTCTGTAATACCATACGCATTCTTGAGTTTCGTAAGAAGGAGGTTATGGTTTATGGTGTCGAAAGCAGCTGATAGATCTAAGAGTAGAAGCACAACATTCGATTTGCTGTCAATCATCATTAGAATATCATTATGTATTTTGGTAACTGCAGTTTCACAACTATGGAATTTTCTATAGCCTGATTGATATGGGGAAAACAGGTTGTTGACATCAGCATATTCATTTAATTGGCAATGAACTACTTTTTCTAGTATTTTGGACAGATAAGTTAGATTGCTAATCGGTCGATAGTTTTTCAGCTCATCAACATCTAAGGTAGGTTTCTTGAGTCCAGGCCTAATAGATGCTTCTTTTAGGGCAGATGGAAACTTTCCGACTCTTAGTGATTCATTCACGATGTAATGGATGATTGGGAGAAGCTCGGGTAAGCAGTTCTTGAAGAGCCACATTGGTATGACATCGAGTACGCTTGATTTATTGGGAAGACTCTTAATTAAGGTTTCAAGATCTGATAATGAGACTTCCTTAAACTGATTAAGTCTACACTTTGCATTATCTATCGAAGTAGAGTCCTTGGTACCTTGACCGTTTAGGGAAGTGTTTTGAATTTCCTTCTCAATATTAGAGTAAATGGTCTTTACTTTTTGATCGAAGAAAGTCTTGAGTTTGGCAGCCACTTCGATATCTTCACCATTTGGCAATTTGTTGGAGCCATATTCCTTATCTAAAAGTTTATTTATGACTTTATAGGTCCCTTTCGAGTCTCCTTTGCAAGAACTGAGCTGTTTATCATAGTAGCCATCCCTAGCTCGATTGATAGTGATTTCTGCGTCAACACATTTTTCAAAATGAGTAGTTTTAAACTCATCATTCTCTGGATACTTTTTGGCTTTTCGTTTTGCCCTTCTCCTCTCTCTGACAGCAATTTGACATTTATTATCCCAAAAATCAGACTTTTCAGCAGTAAATCGTTTCGTAATAAGTGGGGCATGTTTGTCTAGCACCTGTTCAAGGACATTTTGATAAAGGTTCACAGCCTCGTCTAAGGATTGATATTCAGAAAGGTTAAGCTCTGAACAAAACAGATCTTCCCTGAACTTATCGATGTCAATTTTGCTTAGCTCTCTGACATCTTTTTTTTCATATGTACGAGCTTTATGAAGATCGAATGTGACTGGGACCTGAAAACTTAATAGATAGTGATCAGAGCTGGTTCCAGTGCTTGTCTCTACCATCATATCTGTTACAGACAATGAGTCACTTACACAGCCTAGAGTAAATAACAAGTCCAGTGTCCCGCCGGAGATGTGAGTAGGAGAGTCGACATGCTGAAGGAAGCCTTTGCTCTCACAAAGAGCAATAAAGTTCTGGGCAGCATTATTGTATATGTCTTCAACATGGAAATTAAAGTCACCACAAATAATTGGAGATCCAGTTTTAAGCAGAAGATTGTCCAGGTATCCATCAAAGTCATCCATAAACTTAGATATTTTTGTTTCATCATATTTCGCTTTGGCCTGAGTGCTGCGATAAACTACACATAGCCTGATAATCTCACCAGCAGTTTTAATGACACATTCAAGTACTTCAAAAGATGAATATTTAGTAACATCATTGCGTACAGGCGATATCATTTTGGGGTTGAAGAGAAAACCAACACCACCTCCCCTACCTCTTCGAGGGGCACTGATAATATCGAACCCAAAATCACGGATTTCGGCAAACTTTGCCCGATCATTAGTTTTTAGCCAAGTTTCCGTGATACAACAGATAGAAATCGAGTTATCTTTAAGCATTTCTAGTACGCCACAAGTTTTGTTGCATAGAGACCTTGCGTTGAAACAACCAATAGAAAGCTGTGATTTCTGTCGATTAGCACCTAATTTCACATTACGTTTTTTGAAATAAAGTCAGTGTTAGCAGCAATACGTTTAGTTTCTCTTACCAACACAGGACAATCGTAAGCTGCCGCATTATGTATTCTTGAATTCTCGGCATCATTAGTGTGTGTTGAAGCCAGACATCGAGCACAGGCATGTTTGTCCTTCTTCTGCTTAAATTGGCATGCTGAAGACCGGTGACTTCCCATACAGTACATGCAGGTAGGATGTTTATTTGTTTTGACTTCATTACAGTCAACAGAAGTGTGTCCAATCATTTGACAATGATAACACTGTTTGATGTAGAAGCGATCAGTTACTTTGTATCTGCGACTACCTAAATAGAGAGATCCTTGTTGTTGGTTAAAGAGGACTCTATAGACAGATGGTGATAGTTTGATTCCAATAGTGAGCTCTGTGCGTTCCTGCTTATCGTTGGTCAAACGTTTTATCTTATTGAGATAGACAATACTGATAGTGTGCCCTGCTTCATACAAATCTTTGATGGACGAGTTTTTCTCCACAATTTGGGCGACTAAGTGGTTCTTTTCAAGATCCCTAAGTTTATCGGCATCATTCCCTACAGCTGTAGTGTCTATATCGTCAAGAACTTCAGAAGAAACACCATAAATAGTAACTTTTGGCAGCATTTTGTTGCCATTCTTAGACTGATATCCATACGAATCTAAGGTATTTCCATCATTGAGAAGTGAAGTAGCCTTATCACGAATTTCAGCATTAGGGAAGCCAATTGAAACTTTCTTGTTGTTTTCATTACATCTGAGAAATACTACTTGACTGCTCTTTAATTTATCAGTAGCAAATTTTTTCACATTCGTCATTGTTGCAGCATTTACCGATTGTTCTTCTTTCGGGGACAGAATTAGAATCTCGGGTGATGAAGGTTGTGTACGTGTTGGAGCAATTGGAACATGTGGTGGTTGAGCAGATGGTGTGGAACTGTTTGAGTCGGTAAACAAGCTGGAATAGAGAACGTCCTTTTTATGAGAATCAGTACCGGATTTTGTTACAACAGTGTTTACTTTATTGTCAATAACATCATTGATATTTTTCGTGAGGTCTTCTTTTAAAGATGAAAACTGTTCAGCAAATTGTTTCATAAAATCAACCTGATCTGAGGATCGCTCTTGAGCTCTCTCAGGTTTCTGGGACAGTTGTTCCTTCAGCAAGGTTTTAAGTTCAGACATCTCTTCCCTGAACTCCAAATTTATGGCATCTATTTTATTATCTAACAATCCTACCCGATCTACGGTAGTAGCAGCCCTCTTTTCCTCCTCAGCAGTACTACAATCATTACAGATAAATAGAAAGCGACCAAATCGTTTAGCATAAGATGAAGTGTTGTTCACAGCATGAGACAGGTGAGCAGTAAAAACCGTGGGCGCACTGACATTGCAAGTTTCATCACAGTTTGATTGAAATAAATTTTCGTGCACATACAGAATGAATGGTTAATAATTTAATATATATGTAGACCAAGCTCTGTGCACGGGATGCTTCCTGGAAGAATCCAGTTCTTTTAGCGGGGCACCCTACCTAAAGCCAAATTGAGATATAATAATCATATTCCTAGAGAAATAATCAGAAATCGAATACCAATCAAATAATATGATATATATGAGTAGTAACCATATTTACTATGCAAAATGCCCCAAC